ACTTACAGTGTAAGTTAGTGTCATTGGCGTGGGAGGAATTCAGGGTCGATGCTCTGTGTAAGTCTTACACAGAGCATCGACGCCGCGTCGACGCCAGTTCAGTCTTTGCTGGAGCGTCCACGTCGCTGTAGACCCAAAGAGAGGCTCGCATCGCCCAACGTCCTCTGCGCAAAGCCAAAATGGACATCATGTCTTGCCAGCGCCATGCTATTACTTTCAGTCAGTCGCCCAAGACTGTGACGTCCGCCACGCAACTGATATAACGCAGGAGCGATCTTTTGGAATAACCGGATCCGAATAAGAAGAGAACGCTTCGATTTTCCATTATAAAATGATTAAAATAAGTGGCATTTGGTATTGCAAATACAGCAATTATTATTATTGGAGATTTGTGCGGATACGGATAATTCAATTGCCGGATATCCTGTTCGAGCGTACGGATAATCCGCCAAATTGCACGGGGTCCATTTGCAGTTCAATGGTGTGCGACCGTGTCGACGCGCCGCTCTCGCTCGGTGGGCTCTTCGCCACGAGCGACTCGGAGGACGACGCCTTCGTCAACGAGTACGAGACGCAGAACATCTCCATCGGCGCCGACGCGTACGCGATTCGCCAGTTCTCGTTCCACGAGGCCAACGCCAACAAGGTGTGGCCCGGCATGTTCAACCTCGCGAGCTTCATCGACGCCAACAAGGCGCGGTACGGCGACGGCAAGATCCTCGAGCTCGGCGCCGCCACTGGTGCGCTGGCTATCCACCTCCGCGCCGACCCGCGGCTGTACGACGTCATCACGAGGTACCGCCTCTGGGTATGATGGTCGTTTCCTTCCAGAAGGCTTCGTGCTGTTTTGCTGCCCTCTCCCAAAGGGCTTGATGCCATGCGCTTGCGCCTCCTAGTGACATGGCCGACGACGGCACGATCGAGGCCAACATCGAGTTCAATTCGGCGCTCAACGGTCCGTTGTCTGCGATTTGATGGTTGGCGGCCTCAATGCCATTTCTCGAATAGGCCAAGTCGTCGGCGAGCACTATGCGCACACGTGGGGCACGGGCTGGAAGAGCTCCGAGTCGGTTCGATTTGTGATTGCGTCCGACATTTTGCTCTACGTCAGGTGCGTCGGTGGTCCGTCCAAGCGCCCGTCGTGATGGAGTCTGTAGTGCGTATCCGGCGCTCGTGACGACGCTGCTCGAGATCTTTGAGGACGAGATGACGACCGAGTTTCTCATGAGCTGGAAGCGGCGCATTGCCGACTCGGCCATCTTCTTTCGCCTCATGGACGACGCCGGGTTTCAAATGCACCACCACGGCGCGTGCATCTACTCGTTCTTCAAGCCCACGACGACGTGCGCATACCTCCAGTCTCTCATGTAACATAGCCCACTGCAACTAGACATCACAATTTATATCCTACATATAACATTTTCAAATTCGTTCCAGCACTTTTGGGTGTGCTTGCTGCGTTATCCTTGGATGGAACTCGGTCGGAACTTCCAGACAAGGACAATCGCGTCTTCCGCGAAGCCCTACGACTGCCTTGATTACCCGCGCCACAGCCTCGTTCAAGAGCCCGAGCAGCCCGACATTCGTCGACTTCCTCGCACAACTGCCTAGACCGCGTCCCACCCCTCAACCAACCGACAGTACACAGCGAAGGAAGTCTAACATTTTACCAAGCTCAAAAGTACCTATTTTGACGTGGGACTGCTTAGACAACTTTGCGATGTCCGCCAACGCGTCCGTGGTAGACAATGGCCATAAATGTGGCACAAGATCAACACGGGTCTCCACTATCGACACCAAGGCTCACGTTGCCTCCTACGACTGCATCATAACTATCAGTGAGGAGCTCCAAGAGAGGAGTACTTCAACCGATGACGCACAAAGGTTCCCAGGGCTAGGGCAAGAAATACCCCGCCCTTTCTGAACGACGCCTACGTGGCCTCGAGCTCATTGCGACCGTTGCCAACGCATCGATTGTCGCTTGCAGTGATCGACGCGTCACCAGTTGTCTCGAGGCCCGCGCGTCGGTGGCCGCAGATCTCGTTGCCGACGACATCGGCGTGGGCGTGGTCCGAGACGTAGATTCCACTCGCGCGGCCGTTGCAGACGTGGTTGCGATGGACGACGGCGGCGCTTCCGACGCCGCGGACATCGATACCTGCCATCGCGTTCTTGTGCATGACGTTGTCTTGGATTGTCGCCCGGCCGCCCGAGTGCAGGAGGATGCCGCCTTTGAGGCCGCGCACAATCCAGCTTGTCTCGATGCTTGCATGCGCGTGGGTGGTCACTACTCGCAGTCTAGATCAATGGCGGAAGCAAGTGTACCGACCTTCGACGCCAGCCATGTGGTTCTTCTCGACGCGGCAGTCGCGCATCGTGAGAGTGCCGAACGCATGCGCAAAGACGCCGCTCTTCTTGCAGTTGGCGATCGCCGAGTGCGATAGCGTGCACGCAGCGCCCCCAGAGATGTCGACGCCACAACCGGCAGATCGCTCAATCGTGCAGTGCGAGACGTCGGCCGTGGCTTTGCCTGTCTCGAGTGTGAGCACATTGCAGTACCAGTCGAACCCACCACACACGTAGAGTCCAGCCTGAAGGCCGTCCGAGATACGGGAGAGCCTCATGGTCACGTGCGACCGATTGGCGACACAGACGACCGCGATGTTGCGCGCACTGCGCTGCAGCACACATCGCTCGATCGAGACGCGGCCAGAGGATACGAGGAGTGTGTGGGCCTTGGGCGTCGGTCGTTTTGGCGGCTGTAGCACAAGGCCATCGAGAACCACGCTCGAGTTTCCTTCGATAACAACGTGACCGATCACGACCGTCGAGCCTTCTGGTATACACGGCGGTTCTCGGAAATGGTTTTTGTAGTGAAAAGAGAACGTACCACCACCACACATGCTTTGCAGCGTAATGGCTTTGGCAATGCGCAAGGTCGTCACAACGTACGAACCACGCGCGAGACAGAGCGTGGCGCCGGCGGGCGCGGCGTCGATGGCTGACGCGAGGTCGTCGGTGGTGTCGATTGAAACCAGCAATGCCAATGGCGGTCGAATCGCTGCACTCGTCGGTGGCAGCAAACTGCAGTCCTCCATGTGTTGGCGCGTGCACTTGGTTGGCGTCGCCCAGACGTCGTCTTTGGCTACGACGCAAGAAGTGTGAAGTTGATGTCCGAGTGAGATCGACGTACCGTCTCTAGCCGCGGACAAAAAGACAGCTTGGCTCGAAGACAGCAGTGATGACAACTCGGCCGTCGACGGAGCTTGTGTGACGAGCCACGCCTTGACGACGCTGTAGATGTCTCGAGATGACGATCGCGTCTTGATAGACTAGACCCAATGTGTACATACCCAAGTACAATCGCCATGTGCAAGTATACCATAGGGTCCAAGTGCGACGTGGTCACGTCGTGGCCGATTGATCGCAGTGCGTGTTTGAACGCAGCGAGCGACGGCGGCTGGACATGCTTGAACGCGCGAAACAGTCGCGGCACCGAGTAGTAGAACGGCGCGCTCGACTCCTCGAGCAAAACCCCATCCAAATACCTAGAGCGTACATCACTTGACGAGTCGAACCACGGTCGTACCGCCGCGCTGCGTCCAGACCTGGCAATGCTGCTGCCGTCGTTAGCACAGTCCGCTCTTGCAGCGGCCCCGCCCAGAACGGACCACCCCGCTACACATATGACCTTTGCTCCTTGACGCCTTTTTGCCAACTACCTGCAGCGCGTGGTTGCAGATGGGACACTGCGCTACGCAGGTCACAGCTGCGCCAAGCTCGTGCACGTTAAAGTGCGCACAGCGCGTGCACTGGTCGACGACTGCGAGTGGCACCCTGGGCGCGTCACCCGCCTCTTGGACGCGAAAGATGACGCGCGTGAAAAAGTCAAACGCCGTCGACAGCAGCGGCGTCACCGACCGGTTGCAGTCGGCCGCAATGGACGCGGCGCGGCCCAGCACGATGCGGATCGCGAGCTCCTTCCCAAAGGCTGCTGACGTCAGCGGCAGCGCGCCATAGCGTCGGAAGCACTCGGCGTGCGACGGTCCGTTCTTCCCGAGAAGCGTGTGCATGTCCGTGTCGGTGGCGCAGACAACGCCACCGAGAGCAACCGAGGCAATCGCACTCGGCAGCAGCGCCGCGCACGTTCCGAAGGGATCGAGGTCGATCGCATGGAACCGTCTTCGGTGCGTCCAGAGGCACTCGACTGCGTCCAGCTGCGTCGCCTGCACGCGGTCTGAGACGCCG